AACCCCCCCCCCCCCCCCCGCGGAATCGTGTCTCGGATCGCAACAGTGACGCGCGTATCCGCCGTCATTTCTCTTTGTACACACACACACACACACTCTCTCACACACGCGCGCACACACACACATGGACGTCGGAGACTCGGACTCCGATGATCTTGAAAGATCGTCGCGCACTCGCACACATGGTCGACGGTCTCCCCGTTGATTCCCGATATATAATTCCCGCCAGAATTTCAACAAAAACGAAAGAAAATCCTGAAGAGAGAAAGAAGAAACCGCGCGCGCGGAACCCTGGCGAAATCATCGACGTTAGAAGTAATGTTCGTTGTCTCGACTTAAAAACAGAAAGAACGCGCGTGCAACGTTCCCTCGCGGCGCGAACAACGGACCGGACGAATGCCAATTACAGATTTCGAATTCAGAACGCGTCGGGCGTCACCGGAAGACCTTCTTCTTCTTCTTCTTCTACTTCTTCTTTATCTTTTTCTTCTTCTTCTTCGCCGTTATACTTCCTCGTGTATCTTCTCTCGCGGAAAGAAAACAGTTCGGTCAGTAAAGTCGCAAACAACGCTCGCCACAACACTCAATCGTCGCACAACATGAACAACTTATCCGTGAAAGACATCGATATAGAAATCTTGATTTTTCTCCTAGGAAAAAACGGTCCGCGGACCGGTTTTAAATTACACTCTTGTACGTACACACGTTCTTAGGGTTACGAATGCTTTAACGTTATCTGATATTTAGCTTTTACTTAGTATCTTTTTTTTCATTTTAATCTTTCTTTATCAGAGAGTATCCTAAAACGAACAAATTCTATCGATACGTCTACGCTTAAACATGGATATTACCGTCGTCGCCGGTTTTTTCTTCCATTGCAAAATGTCGGTGGCCCGCGATGTTCGATCGCTTCCGGCAGCGATCGCGCGCATGTCCTAGAAATCAGTCGATCATGATGTTGCTCGTTAAACGAAAACCAAAGGAGAAACATTCGCAGCTTTTTTTCTTTCCTTCGTTTCATCTCTCTCTCTCTCTCTCTCTCTTTTTCTCTTTCTCTCGCACACTCGCACGCTCTCGTTCACTCGCATTTTCTCTCTCTCTCTCTCGCGCTCTTCATTTTTTGTCGCCGTTGTCGGTGACACACAATATACATATAATATGTATACATACATATCGCACGTAGGACGAGAACGAAAGCGTACTTTTGTCCGGCGTGTTTTCGTCTTTCTTTCGCAATGTAATGCGTGTGTTAATTCTTCTTCTTTCTTTTTTTTGTTTTGTAATTGTCGGTTGTTTGTTGTTGCTTCCTTGTCTCATTCTAAATTGTACAAAAACGACCTCCTCTAAAAAATGTAGTCTGCAAAATATTACACGTTGCACCCTAGCAAAGAATATATTTATACAGCGATACGACTATCGTTGGCCACACAAAATGTCGGACAGCCTGTACACACTTGTTTTTTTTTTTCGTTTTGCTAAACCTTAACACGTTTTTTTTTTCTTACGTAAAATGTTGAAAGATATAATGCATGGGGACTTTTTCTTTATCTATCTTAACGGATACGTGATTATATACACTATGTACAGGTTTCTTTTGTTTGTCTCTCGTTGCTAATAAACACCGCGATGCGTGCACTTAAATCATTTCTGCGTTGGAACATGACTACACGGATCGGTGTGTGCGTACGTTTTCGTACGCGTGTATGTCTCTCTCTCTCTCTTTCTCTCGTTTCTGTGTCTCTCGGTGTGTGTGTGTGTGTGTGTGTGTGTGTGTGTTACGTTCGATGATCGTATTATGCGCGAATGCGTCTGTGTGTTTCGTGTGAAGAGATACAATGAAAATTTGTCCTATAAACTTACACAATTAGAATAGGGTTCTCGCGATCGATTTTACACACTACGATAAGATTTTTTTCATCGTTATACAATAAACAATTATACGTTTCTTGCGATCCGTCGGCTAAAGATCTCGCATATACACATATACATATATATATATTCATTTATTTATTCATTTATATATATATATATATTCATTTATTTATTTATTTATTTATTTATTCATTTAGTTATCACATCGCACGTTAGAAATGAAGGAATTATGACCTTACCACGCGACAGAGAAGCGAATCGTCGAACCGAAAATATATCTTTGTAGAACCGTCTTGTTCAATTGCAGAGAAAAAAGTCGAAAGAAGGAATATAAACAAAAAAAAGAAACTATATAGATCATTTATCGAAAAGAAAACAGTACGAGGTCCGCGAGAGTACGCGCGTAGATCGTGACAGAATAAGCGTAGAAAAGTCGTATCGTTCGCATATAGAACTCCTCCACGTGTGAAAAAGAGTCGACTGCCATTTTCGTCGATCGTCCGATGAGTACGCGATCGGCGTATCGTTTTTCTATCTTCCCCGATCATTCCTTTTCCTTACTTTTTGATCGTTATCACAGTGCTTTTAGTACGCTCTTTCGTCTTCTTTTTTTTAAATCCCTCATTTTTAATATCGAATATTCTCTCGAGATATATATATATATTTCTGTATATATATATGTATGTATATAAAACAAAAAGGAAAATTAAAATATGACCGAAACGTCGTTTTCTCTTTCTTTCTCACTCGCTCTCGTTCGCACCCACACTCTCGTTCTCTTTCTCTCCCGCGCGCGCGCGCGATTTACAACGAAGTGTATCTTGCATTATTGTTATATATAAAAAATTATTACCTAATTTATTGCATAATATATGCATGTACACGCCTACGACACTGCGAATCGTTCGCTCGCCACCTCGAACATGCACAGTCTTCGCCCTCTGCTGCCGGTCGTCCGTAGACCGGCGTTGTTTCGACCCTGATCGCCGAGGGGGTGCCCGACGATCGGCGAAACGCGGCGTCGATTGCTCGTTCGAAAAAGGAAAAAAAAACAGCGAACGACGAGCCGCGCGGAACTAAAAATCGTCTACGGTGATCCGCGCTGTCGACGAGCGGCCGCTGAACGATCGCAGGATCGTCGATCACCCCCTGGACCGGATCGAAAACAGGATCCTCGAGTCTCGGCAGCCCTTGGATGGACCTCTTCCCGGAGGAGAGATTTCCTCCGCTTGATTTTCCCCGCGGCAAAACGTGAGAAATTCCGATCGAACGTTCGATTCTCGAACGAACAGAAGAACGAAAAAAAAGAAAAAAAAAAAGATGGAGGCGAGGACGCCCGACGGATCTTTGTCTTTCGGTAAAAGAAGTGTGTGAAAAAGAACGGGACGAGGAAAAAAAAGGAGATTGTAGAGAATCGGAGGAAGGGAGACGAACGAAAATAATCGAGACCGACGTTCGCTACTCGTAGACCCTAATCGGTATGAGATCCCATTGTCTACTTAGACGTTGGGGCAGCCGGTTGGTGCTGCCCCGTCATCCCCAGTCTTGGTTGCGAGGAAGCAAGTAATTCTTTGTAATACGCGCTGAACTCCGGCGACAGAAAGGACGCGGGGGCCGTGGGCGGAATCGGCGGCGGGAACAGACCGTTGTAGAACGCGGAATAGTACACCGGGTCCAATATTGGTAGGAACTTGCCGGGCGTGTTCGTTGGCAGTTGCGGGAGGAAGGCTGGATTACTTTGCGGCACGTTGGGCACGAAACCCGAGGGTATGCTGGGAACGCTGTGCCGCCTCCCAGCCTCGGTTTGCCTGGCCTCTTGTTGTTGCTGTTGCTGATGCTGATGCTGATGCTGCTGTTGCTGAGCAATCAACGACTTGTCGCCCTCGCTGATTCGACGCTGTTGATGCTGATGCTGTTGCTGCTGCTGCTGCTGCGGCGACGGCTGTTGCTGCTGCGGCGGCGGCGGCGGCGGTTGCTGTTGCTGGTGATCTTTGCCACTGGTCTCCACGTTTTTTCTCCTGTCTATGCCGATCTGTTGATGCATCGCTGCCTGCATTCTAGGGTAGTTCCCGCTGTTCAAGTGGTTCAGATTAGGTACATTCGGTATCACGGGGTGACTGGTTGGCTTCCTAGGTGTGTACGGTGAGACCGGCTCGCTTCTCGTCGTATACTTGCCGTTCGCCTGGTGCCTCCTCTGGCCAGGCACGTGGCTGTTTCTGGTCGGCGGACTGGGCACCCGGACCGGCGGACTCAGATGGTTGCTCTTGTGTTTGGGGTTCACGATCGTGATCTCGAGGTTGTTCGAGGCCATCGTCCGGCTGTCGAGCATGTTCTGGTAACCGGCCGGGTATCCGGCCGGGCCGCGTTTCGAGCAGTCCGTCGGCTTCTCTTTCATCGTGGACGAGTTCCTCATCTCCAGGTTCAGTGGATTAGGCCTCGGCACTACAGGTACTTTGACTATTTCTAAGCTCGGCCGCGAGAACGCCGGCTTCTCGGCGTTCTTCTGCGTCAGGTCGAGGACACCGCCGTGCGCCATCGTCTCGTTATTGTTGTTCATCGGACCGTGGTGATGGTGATGATGGTGGTGGTGGTGATGGTGCGGTGGCGGCTGCAAACGGTGCAACGAGGGTCGGTACTTCGGAGGGACGATAACGTCTTTCGGGTCCCCGTAAACCGTCTTTTCGTTGTGCGCGAATATCGACCTCGACTGCGTCACCCTCGGCGGGAATATCCTGCCGTTCGGCACCGTCGGCGGCACGAACCGATGATTGGCCTGATGATGATGAACCGCCGAACCCGGCGGCGGCACGTTCGCGTTCGCGTAAAGCTGCAGCAGCGCCGCGTTGTTCGACGTGCCGAGATTTATCACCCGGCTGTTCACCATATTGTTGTTGTTCATCGTGGTGTTGTTGTTGTTGTTATTGTTATTGTTATTGTTATTATTGTTGTTGTGGTTGTGGTGGGCCGGCGGTTGCTTGTTCGGCACCTGCAACCGAGCCTGGTGATGGGGATGCTGGTGGTCCTGCGGCGACGACAGCATATGCCCGATGTCCGGCGTGACGGTCACCGAGATCAGTTTCGGAATGGAGTTCGGCGTGACCGGCAACGGGTACGAGATCGGCGTCTTCTCCTCGGTCTTCATGGTCGCCGGCGTCGGCGGGTTGCTCTGGATCACGCTCGGCCGAGTGTCCAAGTCTACGGCAGTGACCTCGAGGCCCCCCTCCCGGAGGATCTCGAGCTTGCGTTTCTTAAAGCTGGGAATGATTATCTTGTCCCTACTCGTGTCGCTCTCCGACTCCAGGTCGATCACCTCCGGCGACCTGGGCGCCACCATCGCCTTCTCCGCGAACATCGGCTTCTCGCCGAACAGAGGTATGTTCTCCTTGCCCTGGACTAGCAGAGTGGTCTGTTTCGGGTCCAGCTTGATCTCCTTCATGTCCTTTTCCGGCGGCGGCGTCAGGGTAACCACCGTGGTGGCGTTCGTCGCCACCGTGGTCACCGGGAGACCCGGCGGCGAACACGAGGGCGGCACCTGCTGCGAGATCAAGGGGCTGTTCAATTGCCTCTCGAGGACGCTCTGGTTGCTGGCGGTGTTCGTCGGCGTGGTCGACGGCGTGCTGTTCGGTGTCGAGATCGACGTGTTCGAAGAGGGTGGCGGACTTGGCAGTTGGGTTTGCTGGCTGGGCGACGGCATGCTGTTCGCGATCATCGTGTTCAGCGACTTCAGACGCTCCGGTTTCACCCGCACGCTCCGCAAAGACGACGTCTTCCCGGTCTCCGTCTTCGGCTTCTCGCCCGGCAAGAAAGGCTGCGGAACAGACCATCGTTGTTTTTTCACATCCGAGCGAGAACCGGCCAACATTTCTGACAAGACGGCGGCGGTGGTACTTACCGTTGTAACGATCGGCTGTAACGGAGTTGCGGTGGCTGTAAGACTCGCGTCTACAGGCGGCGGCGTCTCCGAAGTGTACGTATCATTGGTGTCTTGCTTTATTTCTTCGGACTCGTCGGAGACGCTACTAGATTTTGTTCGTCTTCCGTGGTTCAGTCTCAGTTTTGCCTCCTCGCCCTTCTGATACCTCTCGTAAGGTAACAGTAACCTGGAAAATATAACAATCGATGAGACACGAACGATCGATCCATTCTTGAGGCAGGATCCACCCTTTCAACCTTGACAGAAAAATCTAGATATTTTTCTTTTCTTTTAGTTAGAAATTATAAGCAAAGAAATTGAAGGAAATCGTGTGTCGCGCGTAAAATCTTGTCGACCGAGGGTCGACGGTGTTGTCCGAGGACATATACCGTACCTCTCGTAATGACGACGAGTGATGGTGGCCGCACTGGTGGACCCTGTGTTGCCCCCGATGTCGTCGTAGATGGTTTTCCACAATCGTCCGGTGCTGACGGTGTCGTAGCCACCGAGCACTTGCACTTTCGTATAAAACAGGAAAAGATCGACTGAAAATCAAACGAGCCTGGTTAAACCTTTGCCCTACGATTTAAATTCCAATAACGTGTGCCACAAACAACAACAAATTAGTTTAAACAGTTTTGTAATTTTATAAGTTATAATAACTTTCGATACCAGTTTACAATTATTCTATCTTTCGAACCAGTTTGGTACACGCATTAACGGGTACCAAATTATATTTTAAACGAAGGAATATTAAAATCGGCACCCTTGGACCGCGGAAAACCCCGAAAACACGTATCCTCTATTCTAGCACGGGCCTAATTCGCAGTTACGTTTATATTTGGCCCGACCGACGCATCACGGTTCTCGTTTCTGGCCCGATCAATCCGACCACGTATCTCGGACGTGGTTGTAGGGCAAAGGGTTGGCGCAAACCGATCCGAGGCTGCTGGCGAGCTTCGATTCGAAACATGCGAAAAGGAAACGCCGTCGTACGCCAGCTTACTATAACGGTACCGATCACCGTTTCGAATATTGCCAGAACGGGAGAATCAACGATTCTACGACCGACGGGGAGAAGTCCGGGGTCCTGGATCCTCGAAACCTTCGACCCATCGAGAGATCCGAAGCGATTCGAATCGATCCGAAGCGATTCGAGTTGATCCGAAACGATTCGAATTGACCCGAAGCGATCCGAGTTGACCCGAAGCGATCCGAATTGATCCGAAACGATTCGAATTGATCCGCGTTGATCCGAAGCGATCTACAAGCGACCCGAGCGGAAATTGCGAGCGAGGGGATCGGGAATCGTCGAGGAGGATCGCTGGACCTCTCCCGGTTGCCTAGGACGTATCTAGAAGCGGCACAGCCAACCGTTGAGAAAAAAGCACAGATACTGACTCTGCCTGTAGCCCAGCAGCGGCATCTTTCCGACCGGCGTACCCCTCGAGTTCATAAAACTCTGCACGTCCTGGAGAAACTTCTTCTCCTCCGCGCTGGCGTTCCTCTCGCTTCGACGTACCACCGACGAGGACGGCGGTCTGCCAACGTTCGAAACCACATTTCCAGCACCCGTTGACGTCGCGCTCTTCGACGTCGACGCGACCGAGGCTTCGCTCTCATTGCTCGACTCGCCCGGCGACGCGCTGCGCTTTTTACGCTTTCTCCTCGGCCGTCCTTTCAATTTCGGCGCTGAAAACAATTATTCGTACGATTAGTATTCCTCGAACAATTATGCTACCGTTATTGCTAGAGTTATAAATTCATTGGGTACTATTCCTAATAAACGTCCCGAATAAATTCAAAGAGATCTTCTTCGACAAGTACAGTAATGTCTTCCTTACCGACGCTCAGGTTGTATACAGAAATGGACAATTTGGGAAGAGGAGATACGATTATTCGAGCCTTGTAGCCCGTTTTTATAATTGTTGAGAATCAATAACCATAAAAACGATCCTATAACCTCGAATATTCGTATCTCCTCTTCCCAAATTGTCCATTTTCGTGGACAATCCGAGCGTCGATTAGAGAGACATTATAGACATTTCTCCGCTATTAGACTCTATCTCTATACTTGCCAGAATATTATGAAGAATATCGCGAGATCGTTCATCACGTAGAAATTAGAAATTCACGATCGCAACTATTCATTATCGTTAACCCGCCGTCAGGCCCGAGCCGCGGACCTCGTTTACGAACGCTGTTGTCTTATTTTCGTTGGAGGATCTCTCAGTGATTATTTATCGCATATATTTGTGCGCCGATGAATCCGCAAAGTATACGTCAACGGATTACATAAACCGCCGTGGATTCTGGTCTGGCTCGATCTTTCTGTTTGTTTTGTCGGGACGGCACAAAGCGATGGTGGTTTAGCACCGGTATCGTATGACATGATAATTCGAGTCTCTCGGTCGGTTTCCGCTTCGCCGCGGAACAGTGTTCACGGTTGCATGACGGTTTTTTTTTTTTAAATCTCCGTAATTGCTAGAAATTACGCGGCAAATTTTCGTACAAAGTAGCGAGCAACGTTACCGTGCGATTTCGTTCCAGGAAATAACGTCGATCTTTCGATCGAAGTCGAGCTTTTGCCGATTCGAGGTATCGAATCCGCGCGCGACGAGAAAATAAGGCCCCAAATATATGATTTTAGCCGAAAAATTCGATACAAATGTACGCTGTCCACGGTGCTGCTGTATTCGACGCAAACGATATTCCAGTAATTACGGGACGTCGATTAATCCCGGAATGTAACGACGATTGCAACCGACAATTTGCAACCGGTAATTTTCATTAACGACCGTTCCCGTCTACGCTGCGTCGTGGCACAAAGTCACCGGTATATCCGACGACGTTCCACGGTTAGCGTTGCAATTCTTCGATCACGTGTCATTCGCAAATCGTCCGTTTCTTCGCACTTTCAACTGTCGCAGCGACGGAAATCGAACCCAAACAATGCACGGCCGACCGCGTGACAGAAGCGCGTCGACCGCCGACCGACCACGTGAGCGAACCGTTCGTTATCTGCACCACGTGCAGGCCGCGTCGTCGACGAGATCTCGACGGAATTGCGCGACAAAAGAATTGTCCGAAAAAAGCACGGAAAAAATCGTCGTTCGCTCGTCAATTGGAAGCCCGTGCCGGAATCGTTCCGGTTTATTCGACGCGCGCGAGAACGTTGCGCAACGGACGCAAAAGACGCAGAAAAAAAAACAGAATAAAAAAACTCACCGATCACTTTGTAATACCCGACCGCGTTTTTCTTAATTTTCATCAGGATAGGCATGCCTCGTCCACCAGCTCAATGTCGCGAAACGCGACGCGAGTCAGAAACAAAACATAGTTGAACGAGGAGTCTCGATAAAACCATCGAACACGTTTCCGATCTAAAAATAGAGACGCGCGTCCCCGTCTTCGCCGTGTTTCCTGTTGTATTAATCCGGATTATAGCGAGTTCGTTCGCGCACCCGTCGAACAAACGGCTCGACGGCGAGGAACGAAGCGGACGAAATGACGCGCCCGGCGAAATCTTCCGACACGTTCTCTTCTTGCACACACCTCCTTCGCACACCGCTCGCTTGTTTTTTCAACGATCGCCGAACTGTCGCGATTGCAACGCGGCCGCTTCTCCGTCGGTAAACGAGAGGCCTCTAGATCCTCGAGATCTTTTTTCCACGTTGCGTCACACCTTGCCCGAAATTCTCGAGCTTCGACTATTTTTCATCGGCTTTCCCAACGATCGCGACCGCCGCCGTCGGCTTGGGAGCACCATTCGTCCCCTCTCGTTTCTATATAATCGCACTGCTTATGCCGATGTATTTTGCAAACGGGATCTGCGAATCTCGTCTCGCCGTTGCATCATTACCGAGACCACCGAGTTTCAATTATTTTCCAAGCAATTTTGCAACAATTCTGACCGTTGCTAGATCTGCTCACAATATTCTCAATGTTTATTCAATTATATTCGATGGATAATTCCATTTTCTAAAATAGATTTGTCAAGATTTCAGTGCCAATTTCTGTGCCTTCGGATTCAAAACGTATATAAAAAGAGAAGCTTTGCGTACAAATCGATGATTTATACTTTTCTGTCGCGTCTACCTGTCAACATGCAAGATTTAGCGAGAGGTATTACATTATTTACGCGTTAAAGTCGATGCTACACAGCAGTTCCGACGAGTTAAACGAATAAATTATTAGTACGATCTACATCGTACGAAACGTATATTATACATATAGTGGTAAGACTATGATTAGTTTCAGCGCGTTAAATTGAAATTCGAGTGCTCGACGAAAGCTTCGGCGTCGGGAAAAATTGGCCCGAGGGCGCAGAAATTGGGACACCTAGCCCACCGTATCCTTCGAGTTGGCAGCTCACCTAGATGGTTGCAGAGCAGCTCGTGGGTCTCGAGGTCCGGGTAATCGAAAGTGTCCCTGCAGAAGAGCACCCTGGTGCCAGGTGTCGCGGTGAATCCTCCGAGGGCCGCCGCGATGGAGGAGCAAAGCCAAGAGGGCTCGGCTCCCTGGAGCCTTCTGAGCAGGGCCCGGTACCGGCAGTACCTGGGGTAGGAGAGCACGACCACCTTGGTCTGCGCGCCGCACTCGGTTCTTCTGTTGTTATGGTTGATCTCGTACTCTTTCTGCTGCTTATCGACGTCGGAAAAATCGATGCCGGGGTCGGTGAGCACCTGGGGCTGCGGTATCTCGTACCTCAACGGGCTGCTCTCGGGAGACGAGGTAGGAGTCGCCGGGTAGGACACTTCCCGCCCCCATGACCACTCCAACGTGGGCGACAGCCACGTGACAAGATCGTGAACTCGGACCACCACCTTCTCTGATATCGTCAGCACCTCGTCCTGCAATCGGATCAATAAAACTTGTTACCATACGGTCGAGACAACGTGTACCTACTGCGGGGCTTCGGGATTTATCGCGCAAGGTAAGGCATTTCCATCGTTTCGGTCTGTTAACGTGATACGAAAATCTTGTATTCGAATCTTGGAAGCGACGGTATTCCGGACAACCTCGGTAATTGGGACTCTTACCCTTCGAGGTGTTGTCGATATTCTGGATTTCGAAACTCCAAGGAGTTGTCGATGAGATAAAACCGACTACCTATATTATGGTACGCTTTTCAGGGGGGTATAAGATTATCGTCGATTTTATCAACGTCGAATGTAGTATTTTTTAATATTTTTCAATTCGTTGTACGAGTTATGCTGTCTTATTTTATCGCTTCTACACTTATGAGCAAAATAAGGGATGAAAAATTTTCGATCGAAAAACTGCCGATGTTCGAACTGCTGTAACTTCGTTAAAAAAAATCCTACATGGACTTTTAGATGGTCGTTGCAAAGGGGAAACTTTCCGCTTTAATCTGGTTGCAAAAAGAAACCCGAGAAAAAATTATTAAACTCCGTGCAGACGTTCGAAGTCGGAGAATTTTTGTGAGATAAAAGTACCTCTACATTTTCGCCTCGCATTCGACTAAACGATTCAACAGCGGTTCAAACATTGACAATGTTTCGATGGAAAATTGGTCGTTACTTAATTGTGCTCACGAGTGTACTTAGGCGAGTGCGGAGGCCCCGATTCTACGCTGTTGCGAGCAATCAATAAAGTCGCATTACCATAACGGCGAAGCAGTTTCGCGTACCTACTGTAGGATTTTAAGATATGTCGTATATAATTGCACCGTTAAAAAAGTGTATCGTAATTCCACTATTAACCAACTGCGCTATTCTTTAATTCCACTGTCGACCGATTGCCCTCTTAACTAATTATGCCACGCTATGAAATGTTAACGTACATTCCGTACGATGCTCGCGTTACGAGCATCGACTGCCAACGGAGGCAGCTGTCTACTTTACCGGTAAAGAGCCGCGATCCTGAAGCACCCTTCGCCAGGTGGAGCCATCCGGGTCATCAGCCCCGTTTCGCCACCCCCGTAATCTGACCCAGACCCCTGTCTACATAGGTACACTTATCGCGAGCGGTGAACTAAAACACCTATGTGCTCGTTACCTATACATATAATCCAGGCTACGTAACTCGTGGTTTATGTTGTACCTCGAGTGCATCGTTATCTACTCGGCTCCGACGATAATTTAATTGTCCGCTGATGCCAGCGGCGACGTCATTTTCACAAAGTTTCGCTGCGCCACTTGGTCCTGCTGATTTGTGGGATTTCAGTTGAATAGAGAGCCGCTTGTCTACGCGGCTTCCACCGCGTTCTTTCCGCTTTAATCTCTTTAATCCTAGGTAGGTTCGCGTTTTTCTCCCGCCACCTGCGTGTTCCGCGAATGCTAATTAAATTCGCCTGCTGGCCAGCTCGAGCTTCGTCGTTCCGTTTACCTGGCCACGGTAAACCATCACGATTCTCCGATCATTTCTATCGCTCGCGATTCGAACGAAATTTTCTGCGGATTGGTTCGCAACTTTTTTTCGAACGTATCGCGTTATTATTATTATATGCGAAATTTATTCGCTCTTTTCGTATGGAAGCGTCTTCGCAATTTCAATAATCGTTAACTAAAATGCGAGAAGCCAATATATTTATTCAGAGTTATTAAAAATTGTAAGAAATTATTCTTCATTATTTTAGGGATCGTATCGATTCCTAATTGTAATCCAATTGTGATTTCTTCCTCGCGAAGCAAACGGCCAAAATGCAGCTAGAGTACATTAATTTGTTCGTACCTTTTCCGTAGAAGAACTCGCGACGGGATAGAAATCTTTCCGCGGAATAATGCGCACTCGGTGATTTTTTGACACGTGTATTCCGCTCGGGTTGCGTTGAACGTCCCGACGCGGCGCGGCGTTATACGCTGGCTGTTGTTCAAGCGCGACTGAGTAAACTGTGGCAACTTCGTAATCACGTTAAAGCCGCCAGTGAAACTGATGGAGGCGGTTTCAACTTCGCGACTCGAGCCGATTTAAATATTTAAGCGCGCGCCCCGGCCGGCTTCACTTTCGCCGAACTTCCCCCGCGAACCGGTAATCTATTGTTCCTCTTCTCTTATCGTTTCGGAACGTAACTTCGCGCGTGCCATTACCGCGAAATATGTAAATGTCTTTTAGCATTTTCACGACGATGAAACGATCGACACCGCGCAGACCCTGTTTTTCGCCGTCCGAAGTTTCTTGCGCCGCGGTGTTTTTACTTTAATTGCTTTCTGCTTTTTCTGTTATTTCTTGCTCCTCTAATTTTTTTGCCGAGTTCCTTTTCCTTGTCTCTTTCTCTTTCCTTTATTAAATTAATGGCCTCGTCTCGGTGTACAGCATACGTTCTTTTTGGAAACGCTCGCTTTTATATAAAATGTTTCCAGTAAAATGTAATATCGTAATAGCGATAATAGCAATAATAATTAGATCGGACACCGCTGTCGACGTCTTCGACGTCTTAAAGAGCCTGAAAAAACGTCGCGTAGGCAGTTTCGCGGATCCGATTTTAATTGGCATCGAATCGGGACTGGCCGAGAGCTTTGTTTTTACGCGAAAAGCCGGCGCGGGGCTGATTTACAGCCGCGCACGGGTTTCCCGTGTATGCATAAGTAAATTTTCAGCTTGTCCACGGCCGATTTAAATTTTTAATGAATCCAACGCGGCCCGGGACAGTTAAAATTGCGTTTTATTAACGGGCGAATCGGTTCGCCGATAAATCCCGCTCTGATTCGCATTTCTCTCTCTCTCTCTCTATCTCTCGCTCTGTATTTTTTTTTCTTTCGTCGTTTATGGTCGCGAGTATTTCAAACAACCGCAAGTGTGCGCTCGCGAAATTCAATTTAACGGGGCCACGGGACGAGCAGGCTCCTTTTGAGGCGCGAACTTTTCGCCACCGACGAGCGCCGGGAAAAAGAGAGAGAGAGAGAAAGCTGTTAGATGAGATTACATTGCGCCGCGCAGTGCTTGATTTTCTTGGGAAATTGGAGGAAAATGAGAAAGAAAAATTGTTTCGTAAGTGGAAAATTGTTGCGCGCTTTGATCTATTATCGTCCAATCCGTATAATTGGTAATCCATCGATGGACTCGTATTTGCATAGCGTTGTACTTCGATCCGATATTTTATCGCATTTCTCGAAGGAATCGACCAACCCCGTGCGCCGGTGTCTTAAAATCTCCGGAAATATTATAATATCGATCGCGATGCAGTCGTCCGCGTGCGTCGACCTCCTTCAATCTCTTCTCTTTCTTTTTTCGAAAAAGTATGCTCGCGATGTTTGATTCTGTCTCCGACTCGTTCCCGGACTCTGTTCGTCAAGAGATCCCGGAATATTGCATAAATAATTTATAAAATAGCCGGCCGATTAAAACTTGAGAGGGAATTTTAATAATTCCGAAGTTTCTGTATTCATTTTTAATTCAACGATGGTTTAATGGAAGGGTCGAAGTTTTCTTTTTTTTTTAATTCTACGTCCCGAAGTTTTTCTAATTTATTAATAATCGTCTGTCCCTCTTTGCTATTCGAATTCGCTTTCTGTGTTTTAAATGAAATTGAATGAAATTGAAAATTATATTTATCACCTTTAACGTGTCAAGCGATAACCCTTTAGCTCCTAAAAAACCAAATATTATTCGTTAAAAATCGGCGTTTACCCGTCTATACGAATAAATTAAAATTAAATTGAGATCTATTTAAATTTTCACGCGCTTCGTTGAAGCCTGCACCGAAAAAAGGAGCGCCTTAAGAAATATCTGAACAAAAATTGATAAATAAAATTACAAACTAAGTTGCATTTTCGTCGAGAAGCTTAAGTTTAAATAATGCGAACAGCACAGAGGTGTTTCATCCCGTCCGGACGGTGCAGTTTATAACCGTAAGAGTTATTAAACATTCTTTCTGCCAATTATGCCGCGAAAAAGTATCAGAAGAATGCTCTCGCAGGAAAAAGGAAGCCATCCGCGAGATTAACACCTTAATGACTCGATATTACCTCGACTCGAGGAACTGTCTTTTAATATCGACGTGAAATCGAATATTCCGAGCATGGAAACGTTGATAGAAATTCTTTCTGCTATTTCTGTTAGCTAGTTTCGCGTCAGCCAAAGATGGAAGATTATTGGAAAAGTGGTCCAAGTTCTCCGGGAAGGTGATTGCACAAGTTTCCATAAATTCGTAATGGATTCGCTGTGCCAACTACCTGCACAGTTCCTTGGAGAAAAACTATAGAGAGAGATTCAATGATTGTTTATCTCCGAAAGTTTCGAGTTTAGAGAAGGCAGCTTTGCTTCACTTTTAATGGCCTGTTCGGTAGCAATTTTTTTAACCAAACCTCCGTTTCACTTTAGGCCGGAATTTCATCCGGAATCTTTATCCGGATTTAAATGAATTTTCTCGATATATCTACGAGCGAATGTTTGCAGAGGGTAGACTCGCCTGAAAAGACAAATAAAAATTCCCGCTGCGGATAGTTCCGATGAGACTCCAACGAGGAAAGTATGGAACAATGAGGGTGGACGGGTAGACCGCGAGAGACGATTTACACTTGTCAAATTTGGCCAACTTTCGGTGCTCAGTCGTGCATTCAGAAGATGAGACGAACTCTCAGCCGGTGCTCTTTACCTCTCTCTCTCTCTCTCTTTCTCTCTGTATCCCTCTTCTCCTCTCTCTTTCTCTTTCTGTCTCCCTCTTCGTCTCTCTGTGCAGCCGAGTATTCCTCTTGACTGCACATATGCAAGATGTGTATCTACAAGAGGGGTGAATAGAGGGTAGGTGAGCTAGGGGAGAGTCAGCGCGATAGAGGGATTAAAGGGGAACAGAGAGGACCTGGTTGGAGGAGGGTGAGAAATCGAGGCGACGCGAGAGATAGAGGCAGACAGAGCGAGAAAGAGGAAGACATAGATAGATAGAGACATG